CTGCTCAAGCAAGAGACCCAATGAATGAATGAATGAATATAACTTCATTACAGTCTTAGACCAGCAATAGACATCACTGTTTACAATATACATAAAAATACTGACACATTATAATACACTAATAGTGGATAAAAACATCTGTTAAGAAAATACATGTTCTCAAACAATTAGGGGCACTCCCTGGTTTATATGAGTGGGGAGTCAATAAGTATGTGTGTAAATATCATTTTCCAAAGTTTGTTCTGTCTCCCAAAATTGTCACAAATTGACAGCTATAATTCTATAACCATTTTTTTTCTAGTAGGCATTGCAGCAACACAGAATTTTGCCACTGCATGCATAATAGCTGGGTTTGAATCCTGGAGGAGAAAGTCTACATAAAAATTGGCTGCCCTCCCTGGCAATCTCTCTAGTAAGGGGAGAATATACAATGACCTATATACTCTGTATAGTACAATAAAATACGTGAGATATCTTTAACTTCTCCTTTACCACATATACATACCCGTTCTGCTTTTGGTGTTTTCTTATACCTGCCCTGAAGGAGTGCTGAGGGGAGAATATTAAATCTGGCTCTGAAGAATGCTATTCTTTGTTTTGGGAAGATCAGATCGTTTAGATATCTTGCTGATTCCCACACTCCCTGTTTAATTCTCTCCCTGCTGTGGCAAGTCAACCTATTTAGTTCTTCTCAGAACTCCCTGCCCCTCATTCTGCAGATTACTACTTGCTTTGCCTGGTCAAAGCCAGGGGACATCTGAAGAATCCTGGTGAGAGCCCATAAGAGACCAGCTTGTGGTCTATTGCCTGTTTCCGGGGGGAGGGGTAGTTATCAGTCAATACTAGAGGGGTCAGTCCCTCTGGGAAGAAATGCATTTTTAGCCAATGAATGATCATCATCTTCCAGGCTCTTACCGGAATTTGAGGCATGCCTGTCTCGATTCTTACCTGGGCACTTGGAGTTCCTTTGGGTGCAGCTAAGATGGCTCGCAGGAATTTGGTTTGCATAGGTTCTAGCAAGTCTTTTTTTGTGTGTGTGCCCCATATAGAATTTGTGCCAATGTTTTAGCCTCAAAACGTTTCAAGGCCGCAGGTACTAATTGCCCTCTACCGTGTAAAAAAAGTGTTTAATTGCATTTGAGGACCTATAGGCTGCTTGCACTGTGTGATCCAGATGTGCCTTCCGTGTCCCTTGTGAGTGGAAAACTACCCCAAGATATCTGAATGTCCTGATCTGTTCTAAACTATACCCTTCTATTCTCTAGGAGTATTGTCCAGGTCTTTTAGCAAAAACTAAAACTTCGGATTTATCAAAGTGAAGGACCAGCTTATTCTGTTTACCGAATTCAAGCGCTGCCACAATTGCTCTCTTCAGTCCTATTGGAGTTTGTGAGATTATAGCAGTATCGTTGGCATACAGGAGAATTGGGATTTTACGTTGTGCTACGTTTGGAGGATGTAAACCAGGGTTCTGTAAGAGGTTGATCAGAGGGTTATTGTACAAGTTAAAAAGGGGAGGGGGATAGGATGCAACCCTGCCGTACCCCCTTTTGTACCCTTACTGGGCCGGTTAAAGGCCCTTGAGGATTATACCTCACTTTCAAGGTGGACTTAGCATACAATTTTTGTATGAGGAAAAGGAGGCGTTTATCGATGGTAGTACATTTTAATTTCTCCCAGAGAGCGTTCCTGGATGTTGAACCGAAGGCCTGCTTAAAATCAAGGAAGGCCACAAAAAGAGAAGATTTTTTTGTATTCATGTATTTTTGAACCAGATGGTGAAGTACCAAGATGTGACCCACCGTAGATCTTCCTCCTCTAAAACCAGCTTGCTCATCTTTAATTATCCCCCTGGAAATTAGCCAGTCCTGAAGTTTATAGTTTAGGTGTTTGGCATACAATTTACTCAGAAGGCTAATAGGTCTATAATTCCCTGGGTCATTTCTATTGCCTTTTTTATAGATTGGTATGATAATTGCTAGTCCCCAATCTCTTGGCATTCGGCCCGTTTTATCTATAAATGTAAGCAGAGATGCTAAAAGTGGAGCCCACCAACTGGCATTCTTTTTGATTATTTCTGGCAGGACATTATCCGCACCTGGTGCCTTATTAGTCTTGAGGGTTCTGATCAACCGGGTGTAACCGAGGGCCAGTCAGGAGTTTGGTCCACACTAATTTGACTCTCCTTAGTAGCAGGAGCCCCGAGTCCATTCCAGACAAGGGGCTGCCCGGTCTCTTCTTAGAAACCTCCCGTGATGGAGCCCCCACAACTTCTGTTCCACTGGTTGATTGTCCCACTGTTAGGAAGTTTCTCCTTAGTTCCGGCTGGTTTCTCTCCTGGATTAGTTTCCATCCCTTGTTCCTTGTCCTCCCCGCTGATGCTTTGGACAATAATTTGGCCCCCTCTTCTTTGGGGCAGCCCCTCAAATACTGGAAGACTGCTATCATGAGCCTCCTAGTCCTTGTTTTCTCTAGACTAGCCAGGCCCAGTTCCTGAAACCGTTCTTCATACTGTATACTTTATTGTACCCGATGGCTAAGATTAAGTGTTGCACCCGATGATTCTGGACTCTTGACGAATGTCTCTTTCCTTTTATGTACCCTGAGAGCATTTGCACCAAAGACAAATTCCTTGCGTGTCCACTCACACTTGCCCAATAAAGAATTCTATTCTATTCTATTCTATTCTATTCTATTCTATTCTATTCTATTCTA